TCAACCAGTTCAGGATCTATGGCAAGATGTTCAAAACCGAAGAGCCCACTTAGGTTAAATGCAGACAGATTTCTTTCTTAAAAAAATAATAATACAGCTTGTGTTCCTCCTTCAACCTGTTCTCTCTGCTCACTCTTGAATACAAGCCAGCCATTATGATAATTTGACAGTTAGCTTAACAGATGTCACCTCCAGACTGTGCTCTTTTTCTCTCGCTCCTGTAAGTGGGAAGATGATCCAGAGAGGTTGGTGGCCCTCCCTCCGCCTTGCACACTGTGGAGTAATAGTCAGAGTGAAGCAGGATTAGCCTACTGATAAGCCATATTGCCCTTCTGGATGCTGCAGTTTATATATCAGCAAACACAGGGGACACAGCAGGCCCAGTAATAAAAAAGCAGCAGCACTTTCCCATCTGTTACCATATTAATTCCTATACACATGCAGCAAATAGAACTACCTTTGCCTGCTGCTTCATCTAGGCTTGTTCCTTTTTCCTAGATGCATTTCTCTACGAAAACATGAGGAAGTGGGAGGATTCCTTTTCCCCCTCCTTCTTCTTCTTCTTCTTCTTCTTTTTCAGAACAGTCTTATGGTGAAATGGCAGTGCTTGCGAAATGGCACGGCAGCTTAGAAAGGTGGCATCATCTTCTTCAAAGAGACACAGGAAAGGGAGGAAGAGCAGGACCATGCAAGTTTAGCAGAGTCTCTCCATCCTGATCTGATGTCTTCTTCTTTTCTTCTTCTTTGGTGATCACTAATAGCCAAGTAAGAGTGTCTTCCATGAACACGGTTTTAACAGTGAGTCTGTAAGGGACCACGGAGGCCAGTTCTGGATCCACACGTCCTTCCAGGTGAGAGTTGATCATGGTGAGGGTTTGCCAAATGTGTCTTCCTCTTAGCACGTTTCTCCCTTTTGTCCTGAGTGTCTTCAAAGCCCATGACACCTTTGGTAACGGCTGTTCTCCAACTGGAGCACTCACAGGCCAGTGTTTCCTAGTTGTCAGTGTTTAAACTACATTTGTTTTTAGATTTGCCTTGAGAGAGTCAAACCTCTTCTGTTAACCACCAGCATTACCCTTTCCATTTTTAGGTTCGGAAAGATGTACCAAATCAGAGACAGGCAACATAGGGTTGCCATACATCCAGAATACTGCACCTGAAAATAGCCAATAACTTTGCCAAAAAAGCTCAAGAACTTTTCTGTGTATGTTTTCACTTTTTGAAATATGGCATATATAATATAATGCAGCACCATCCGGGTGGCACCATATTGTCTATCCATGTACTACCCCAAAGAGGGAAAAGGCCTCCATGAGTACTGCAACCTCCCTAGTGAGGTTCCTAGTATGGATGCTTGGGGAATTCTGTCCTTGCAATATCTGACATGAGCCTACCAAACTCATGTGTGGATCACAACGTAGCTCTGCACTTCTCCAAGTATTTGTGATGCAGTTCTTGGCTTAAAATAAATTTTATCAGTGCATATTTTAAAATTCCCCTTTAGAAAATAAAACTTATCTTTATTTTAGGAGAAATCGTGTTTGAAATGTGTATTTCAAATGCAGGTTTTTGTTTGGATTTAAAAAAAAAATGTGGAAACAGGATGAAACAGATTTAGGAATGAGCACATGTGAAAATGGCATGGACTAGAAATAGACTGATTTGTCTACCCACTATATCCAATCTTTTTCCTGCCCCCATAGCTCTAGAGAAACAGGATGACAGCTTAGAAGATTAACATCAGTTATCTCCTTCTCCAGGAAGCAAAGGAGGGGCGGCACAAGTATGAAGATTACTGGACTCTCTCCATCCTAATGTGATGTACAATCCCAAGCAGGAAACAGCTAACCCCTCGAAGAACATGAGAAGAGTGCTGGGCCTATCTAGTCCACAGCGAACAAGCAGAAGTGTGTGGGAACCTACAAGTAAGACATAAGCACAATAGCACTCTCCCACTCATGTTCACCCGAAAACTACTACTACATCCAGGAAGCATATCCCACCCTTCCTCCCAAAGGAGCCCTGAGCAGCAAACAACAAACAATATAAACAGTTTTAAAAGCCAGTCAAATATCCTCACTGCTAAGTAATTTCACAGTTGCCAGCAACGATATGTTTCAGCCATGAAATGCCAGAAAAATTGAAATGTTTTTAAATTCCACATAAAGGTTAATAATGAGGGGGGCAGATGCACCATGCCAAGAAGGGCATTCTATGAACAGGAGACCACCACCAAGAAAGCCCTGTAATGGGTTAACACCAGCAGGGCATAACCAGCACTAACCAAGGCTTCCCCTGCCATTCATAAGGACAGAGATGGCTGATACTGAAGGAAGTGATCTTTTAGGTACTTGGATCTCATGGTGTTTAGGGTTTGATACACTAGTAATAATGCCTTAAATTGGGTCTGGAAGCTCACTGGCAGCCAGTGTAGTGCTTTCTGGACTGGTGGCAGGTGGTCCCTTAGAGCTGCCCCATTTGCCATCCACCAGCCACAATAGCTGCAACTTCTGGACTGTCTTCAAGAGCAGCCCCATGTAGAGAGGATTGCAGTAGTCCAGACGGAAGGTCACTAGAGCATGAACTACTGAGGCCAGGTCTAGGCATAGCTGCAGCAAGTGAACCAGTTTAGGCTGGGCATAAGCACTCATAGCCACAGAGGCCATTTGGGACTTCAGTGACAGATTGGAACGGAGGAGTTTTCACAGACTATGATCCCCTTTGCAGGGGCCAGTGATTTGCCCTTTACTGTAGAGGCCGCAGTGCATATGTTTCATGTTAGGCAAGTGTGAACACAACAGCTAGTGTTTCACAGTTCACAAAGCATGGCAGATCTTAATGGCAATCGGCCAGTGGAAGGAATTTTTACTCCCAGTACAGCTGATCGGAGTCTGTCATTGTCCATTTCAGCAGGGTGAAGATTTTCTGTTCTTTAAAAAACAAAACAAAACACATATGGTTCTGCTGCCCTGGAAAAGCCAACATTTCTGCTTGATAAAATGATTACTCACCAAAAAATAATTGGATTGACATTAATGGGAGAGCCTGAAGCATTAGTTTAATAGCAGCCCATATAAATTGTAGAAATGTTTGAGTATCTGTTTTCATTTAAATGAGGCTTGTAGCAGATGGTGAAAATGCCAATCAGTCTGAGGCAGGTTTTTAGATCTTCAAACTAATGAATAATTAACTATTCCTCCCGTTACGCCAAATGCCACAACAACAGAATTGCTCCAGTTCTGCTTTTCAAACTCATCCAGATACCTGCTCAAATACACTATGTATTATTCGTTCGGTAAGCTATAATGTGTAACAGGCCTGACAATCCCAAAACACTTACTAGGGCAATACCTTTATTAGACCAAATTAAAAATGTGCAAGCTTTTGAATTCCCCAGAACTCTTTACAAGGCTAAATACAAGGTGGCAGAAAGTGGGGGGCGGGGAGGGGGCTATTCAATCCATCTGTGACTGTACTGGATAAGAGTCTTAAGGAGGAGTATGGGAGGCAGTATTCAAATGGGGAAGCAGTATTCAAATGAACCCCATTCAAATGGGGTTAAACTTAGGCTATTAAGGAACTCAGGAAAGAAGACACTTACTGGCTGATTCCCCATTTCCAAAATTCCAACTACCGACTGGATTGGCTCCGCTGGTGCATTTGCACCATGCCAGCCTCACCAATGTCTCACACTTCCCTCTCTCCTTCCTGGTATGCAGCATTGGCTCAGACAGAAGGAGGTCAGGAAGCGATGTAGCGTGCATACACACCCACACACCACTACCACCACCACCAAATCATTTGCTACTGTCCTTACTCTTTCGTTATGACTAGCCCAATTAAAAGTTCACCCACATCATTTTGGGTCCTATCTCTCTTTCTCTGGAACTAAGATGGCAACTATTTCTGTAGTCTTCTTCTGGCGAGCCTATTCCCTGTCCATATAAATTGTCTTAATGAGCAGCAGGACGTTTTATGGTAATACAACTGCCACCGTGCAAATAAATGGAAACGTTCAGAGTTTATGGTGCGTATTTTTTCGCTCAACATTTCCATTTCAGGCGCAGTGACTCTTTCAGCTCTTTCCATTTCAAACTTTCCTCTATGTCAATGGGTGAAGTACTGAATCTGTGTCAGATTCCCATTTGTGAAGTAAGAACATAAGCACTTTGTTTTCCCTCCTATAAATACTGGCAGCAGCCTAGAAGAAATTAGGTCAGAGATGGCCAACATGGTGCCCTCCAGATGTTGTTGGACTCCAACCCCCATAAGCCAAAGGCCAAGAGTGATGGGAGTAGTAGTGGATGGCATGGTGGAGCTGTGCCACTCCTCTGGCACCACCCCTCTGGTTATGTCACTGTTGCACCGGGACAGAGCAGGGGAGTGGAAAATTGTTGGTGAGGTTGGATTACGGCAGTAATGCAACCTATCCACTTGGTCCCACAACATTGGCTACCCCAAGTTAGATATTCTAAAACAGCCAATGGGACCAAAGCAGAAAGATAAATGCACTACTGCCATTCACCTCAATGGCATTAAATTTAACATTTAGTTGTACCCATGTGCCCCAGTCTGGAGTTTCATGTAAACTCCAGTAGATACAAGGAGTTCCTGCATGCACAGACTTCCCTTTCAGTTCTAAAGAAGAAGAAGTGTTCATAAAACATAAAACATGTGGGTTGGGAAGCTCTATGCATTCTGTGCTGTCTTCTCGCAGATTGCAGGCACACATTACCTAGAGCCATGTATTGTGACAGACTGGGTGCCATAATCCACCTAGTTCACCTTCTCGTTTGTTGGAATCTTGAGGAGATAAAGCTTGTGATACCGACCATGGAAACATCTTTGATTCTAATCTCATTGCTAAACCTCTGCCTAGCTTCTTCTTTTTTTCCACAACAGGAAAATATTGTTCTGAAGCTCAGTTCCGCTGACTAGCAGCTGCTGGACAGTTTGCACTCCTTAAGTTCAGCATTGGGCTGCGTCGCCAAACAGCAGATGAGAAATGAAAGGAATGTATCTATAGACGACAAGAATGGAATCGCCGCTAATTCTGTAGGTGCATTTCCCCCCAGGAAATTCCATTAGGTCACCACAGGAATCCAAATAAGTGGGAGATGGGAGAATTTTGATTTACCTTGGTCCTTGAAGAAAAGGCCACCCAGATGATGTAAAGAAAATAAGGTAAGGCAAAAGAAAACAACTCAGAACAGAATCAAGTGCCAACGTGGTCCTATCAGTAAGGCCTTTAGCCATCTGTCATTGCCATTTCTACAGAACTAGAAGCAGGGGCGTAGGAAGGGAGGGAGGGCAGAACGCCCCGGGTGGCCTCCATGAGGGGGGTGACTTTTGGCGCACCGCCCACCTGCGACTCCCAAGCCTACCCCGAGCCGAAGGGGTAAGGGGGGGAGCTGTGCCGCTTTGCCGGCAGCATTCCCCCCTTCCCCCTTCGTTTTGACAGCTTGGGGGAGGCTTGGGAGTTGCGGGCAGGTGGCGCACCGAATGTCCGCCATGGGCAGCTCACTCTGCCCCCGGATAGAGGGTGAACGCACCGCTCCGGGCACCCAAGCGGCTATCCTGCGCCTGGGAGGGCGCCCTACGCACCATGCCCCCCTCGGGAGCGTGCCCGCCCTGGGCAGCGCGGGCATATGCTCTGCTGCTGACTAGAGGGATAATTCCATCTCATAGGGGTGTTTTGATATGCCACCATTATGTAAGCCAGGGGTGAAGAGCCTCAGGCATGAAGGTCAAATGCTGTGCTCCAGGATTCTCTGCAACTCTCCCCAAGACACATACTTCACGGTCCCTGGTTTGCACTCCAAATGCTTTTGCCTGGCTGGAATACATCCTTGAATGTTGACCATGCTACTTGCTTGTGTGGATGAAGAACAGAGAGGGGCTTGTGCATGTTTGTAGAAACTATGCAGAAGTAAAATATGCATTCATTGCTCCGCCCACACTTGCCTCTGACCCCGCCCACAACTGGTATTTGGCCCTCAGAAGCCTCCCCAGAAGGGAATGTGGCTCTCAGGCTGGAAAAAGTTCCCAATCCCTGAAGCAAATTCAGCGAAATGGTTATTTAATTTTAAAACATTAAATTTATTTCTAAACTGCTTAGAGTCTAGTTAAATGGAATATTTCTATGTAAACCGCTTAGAAACTATGGTAGTTAAGTGGTATATGAATTGTTCATATAGTAAAGAAAATAAAAATATAAAAATCTGTCCAATTATTGAGGTTTAGGGAACACCAAATAAACACTTTTGGAAAGCCGAATCTGGCCTGCAAGACACAGATTTGCCACCCCTGGTGTAATGAGACTGAATGCAGCATCTTTAGCGAGTATCACATGCCTCTCCCTGCTCTTTGAGATGAGCTGGGGATGCTTTGCTCTGGGTGCCTTTGACTTCTAAGGTAAGATCTATGATTAGCTAGAGCAGAGCTTTTTCAGCAATGGTACCGCAACCTTGGAATAGTGCCCAGAGGTCTGCAAAGCACAATTGCTACTTAGATTTCAATTCCCAGTGAAGACATTTCAGTTCTCCAAATCAGTTTAGATGCTGCTTTTGGAGTGCTGCTTTTGCCATTTATTTCATGATCTATTTTAGAAGAAGCCCTCCAACATTTAAATATGTCTTAATTTGATGTTTTCTATTGGAAACTTTTAGAATATTACGTATGGTGACTAGGGATTTAACCAATTTGGGGGGAAACAGGACAGAGAATGAGATGTGAATCTGTCTTTTGTCACAGATACATGGAATATAATTACAAATAGATAAAAAGAAGTAGTCCGAGCTATATATCTAAGACTATGGGGAGGGGAAGTTTAAAGACTGAGCTGTCAATCAATGCATGGAAATATGCAAGGGTATAGACAAATTTGTACACTCTGTATCTGGCATTAAGAGAAAACTTACAAACTGATAGCACAAAGATACGTGACTGTTTTACCATGATAATACAGCAATGTAGTGAAAATATGTTGGATAGGGGGGAAATAAATTTCCTACAATGTTGATGCACTTGTAAAAAAAGTTCTGAGAGTTAATTTGACAGTTTGTTTGTTTCTTGACATATTTGAAAGGAGCAACTCTAAGGAAGAAAGAAATATTACTGTTTCACACATGAATAGTTGCTAGATTGCTTTAAAGTAATATGATCCAGCAAGAACACACTGAGAATCTTTTTAGATGATTACTTCAATGTTTTTCTGCATTATCATCATATATTAGTGGAAAATTAAAGGCTAAATTCTACAGATTTTTCATCCTTTCTTATGTACTGCTCTGAGTGTTTTTAAGGGAAAGTCAGTTAATAAATCTTAAGTATCAGCCCAGAAAACAGTCTGAAGGTACAGGATGTGGTTACCTTGCTGAAGCTAAGGATGCCTGAATTCTGGTTGGTGCCTAGATGAGAGGTACCCAAAATATGCCCTCTTGTGCTCCTGAGATGAAAGGTAAGGTGCAAATGCAATCAGTGATACTGTCAGGACAAGACCTTGAGACAGTGGCCTAAGCAGAATGAGTGGGAAAGCCCCCGAAATGCAGCAGGGTTAGCTTACCCCAGTTTGAAGTTAAGTGAAATCTACACATTATCATCTAAAGAGGAGACTACAGACCTGCGGTTCCCAGAATTCCCTGGGAAGAAGGAGAGTTTGTTAACCCACTCTGAGAATGGTAGCTCTGTAGATTAAATAGCAGTCTCCTAATGACACACAGCATCTTTAAATACTATTCCCCGAATTCTTTGGGGGAAGCCATGACTGTTAAAGTGGCATAACAGTGCTTTAAATGTAATGTGTGAATGCGGCCCAAGCTGAGGATTCTGTTCGAAATGCATTCAACTCATAAAATGAAATTATACACTCAGATGCCTTTCCTTTTGTATTATAACAAACAACACAAGCAGGAATTTACTAATTAAGGTTATGACGTAATATGTCCAATAGCAAGTAAAACTCCAGCAGAGAAGAGCAACAGGTTCTTTTTCTGACTTCAACATTGTAAATCCTCCAGCTGCTAAACTGAGTTATTACACTTTTCTGTTCCATAAAGAATGTTGCTTTGGAAACAGAACTGTTGATCTTAAAAAGTTCCTGTTTAAATGCAGATCTGCACTAAAGCTCTGGGGCTCTTTATATCTCTAAGACTGGTCTGGCTCCTACCAAGCCAGACTGAAACCTTCCATATCTAAAAGGTCCAGCATGGTGCTTATTGTGAAACAGTAGCAGCTCAAGGAGTGATTTGCTTGAAGAAAAATAGGCTTCTGCTTTTAAGTAGTGATCAAGGGGGGAGGGAACACAGCTACAAGACATTTGCAGAGGCACAGGAGCGGCACATGGCTGCTGAGTATCTAGCATGCAAGCATTCAGCAGCCTATGCTGAATACTGCCTGATACTCAGTGGCAGAAGCCTATTAACCTCCAGGAAATCGCCTCACAAGTCACTGCAGGCTGCAGCAAAACGTCTAAGAACTTACTCAATTTTCTGCACTTCCTTTAATTTAACCAACATCATCAAAATCATGCGGTTTTCCAAAGGAAGGATGATGCTACCAAATGCCCAAAGAATCCTATGTGCTTCATGTGCCGTATGTACAATTACCACGGCCTTGTTATTCAGCATAAAATGTACACAATGGAAAACAATACCCAAAACAGATGATTGTTCATTTCCACAAGGAACAGTTTTTCATCATCCGTCATGGATTAAACATTGAAGTATACAGCATTTCCTTCCAAACCAATGAGCCATGTTAATTTGGAAAACATGTTCAAAAGCTCAAAAGACTGAGGCAGTTATCTAGTTACTTCCTCTGTATTTTCAGAAATGGTTGATAACAATGTAGGGGAAAATGATAATGCACATTTACTGGATACACCAAAATGAACGTTTAAGAAGTAAGTGAAACAAATGTTTCTGCGACTTAGTACATGCTATCACATTGGGCATGACCTGGTTTACAAGATTCAGGGATACCTGGGGAGCAAGTAAATTATAAAATACACCAGATCGACATCAGTAGGAGCAGGTCTGCTCTTCAATGCTTTGCTCGCTCTTTCTTATAAAATATCTCCACTTAAGTGTAAGAATCAGGAAAAACCCAATGCCTTGAATTGTGACATGGGAGTAGCACATTCATACCTATGTATGTACAGTGGTGCCCCGCAAGACGAATGCCTCGCAAGACGGAAAACCCGCTAGACGAAAGGGTTTTCCGTTTTGGAGGTGCTTCGCAAAACGAATTCCCTATGTGCTTGCTTCACAAGACGAAAATGTCTTGCGAGTTCCTGCGGGGGTTTTTTCCTTCCCCCCCCCTTTTTCCCAAGCCGCTAAACCGCTTATCAGCTGATGGCTAAGCCGCTTATCAGCAGATCTTTAAGCCGCTAACAGCTGATGCTAAGCCGCTTATCAACTGATCTTTAAGCCGCTTAACAGCTGATGCTAAGCCGCTTATCAGCTGATCTTTAAGCCGCTTAACAGCTGATGCTAAGCCGCTTATCAGCTGATGGCTAAGCCGCTTATCAGCTGATCTTTAAGCCGGCTAAGCCGCTAAACCTCTAATGGGCTTGCTTCGCAAGACGGAAAAACCCGCAAGACGAAGAGACTCGCGGAACGGATTCTTTTCGTCTTGCGAGGCACCACTGTACACTCCACCCAATTGATTTATCTTCTACAACTGGGTGGCTGCTTCACGCTGAGTCAGACCATTAGTCCATCTTGCTCAGTATTGTCTTCTCATCACAAGACGATACTGTGGGCAGCCAGTGACAGGCATACTTCATTTGCAGGGTCCTGTACAAAACACATTTCCCTCCCATGTCCCCTACCCCTTGGTATGACCTTCTTAAAAGTCACTGGCATAATTGCTGTTTTCATGAATGGTGTCTCGGATAGTTTAACCCTGAAACAGATGAAGTATAGAGAACTTTCCCGGAGTGTGGCCACTATCTCATTCTGACAGCTTCCAGGAGTTACAGGTGAGAGCTGAGTGCAGGGTGCTGTTGGAATGAAATCACGACAGACGAATAGCAGGTGTCATGTGAGAGGCATCTCTGGAGCAAGCCCCGAGAACTCTCTTTTATAGAATATTACAAACATTGCCACAGGTGCGCTCGTTGCTGATTGGTTGATACAAACACAAAGCAACTTGTTGCTGATTGGTTAACACAAGTACAAGGCGAGGGTTACATATAGGCATTAATCACCAATAGATTAAAGGCTGGGAAATAGAGCACAGAACTAGACAGGCATGAAACCTCCTAATTAAATTATAGCTAATGATTGATATAGCATGACTAAAACAATTACTAATGATTGATCATAACATGAAAGAATATAATAATCGAGTTCCGTAGATGTGGTCAGCTATGCATTAAGAACAGGTCAGAGTGTTTTCATGAACTTAAGATGAACTGAAAATCCTAGGGAAATGAGGGAATGTCTTGGTATTTAGAACAGGTTGTACAGTATGTACAGAAGCAGAGAAAAGCTTAGAAGCGAGACTTCCCATAATGCCAGAGAAAAGAAGCAGGACTTCCCATAATGCCACAGTTATGTGCAGAAAGAGAACTTCCCTTCATCGTGCAGATCAAAGGTGGATAAACTATCCCAGAAAGCGTACAATGTGTCTTCCACCAGAAGTACTACCCCTCCCTTAATGGTGTGTCTCAAACCCTCGGTGAGTTAGGGACTGCCCCTGCAGGCAAAGACAGGCTCCGGTGGATTGAGCTGACAAGACCAATAGTGGGTCCAAGGGTCAAGAAGGTGGTTTCTGCATATGCTGTAGAGGAAAATGAGGGGCAGATGGGGCTCTTCAACCTGAGAAGGCAGCCCATCTAGGAGAAGGAAGACTGTGATCCTAAACCTCTGCTGCCATGTGGAGATACCCATTCATGAGAAAGCCTTGTGCCCCAGAGGTCACTTGGTTCTGCTAATGCAGCAAAAACAATGCAGGAGGCAGCAGTTATGGGTTACCAGTCTCTGCAGGTACAGCAGGTGCTGTGATTCTCCAGCAGTTTAACTTCACCGCTGAACGCACACGCCATTGTCTCTCAAGACAGGCAGATGCCAACATTAAAGGGCTGCACTCAAGAAAGGGCTGGACATACCTCCTGCCCCTGTGGACCATGTTGTTTGCAGGGAGTGAATGCTCTCCCCCACCAGCGTTGCTAATTACAGTTGATTCACTTTGTCCCAAGGAATTTCTTGGGAACCATTGATAATCGAGGGCCAAACTAGATGTGATGCTAGTTGCATGAATGCATGAGTTCTCCATTCAGCAGCTATTAAACAAAGTTAGTAAGAGGATGCTTGTCTTCTGGACTAAAAGCTAACCTTTTCTATCTCAGATCTGACTGTCAACTTGGCATCTCCAGACATTCTCTGGCAGACCCGGAAAGAAGGATGCTTTCCATGTTAAGTCAAGATCTGATTTAGTCCCTTAAAAATATTTACATGGTCATTTAATGATGCAGAAGAGGAAAACAGAAACACTAACAAGATGTTCACTTTCTCTCTTTTTCTGATCTAATATGGAAAATCATGGTAATGTGTGGGGTTTGATGTTTGTATTCCAAGCATCACATGGCTCCCGGCTTTGGTTTTTAGTGGTGAAGAAGATGAGGTAACCCATAACATTAACAACCATTCAGGAAAGGCTAGTTTCTCTTACATCATTTCATCTAGACAGATATTCTAAATATAATTCTGAAGCCCTAGCATTTTGAAAGAAATGCCTATTTTTTTCATAAATTCAATCCTGACTAAACAAAGTTTAGAAAGGCTGTGTACACACACTCGTTTACTCAGCATCCCGTCCAGGGATGTTTTGATGTGTTTCTCCCCAAACTAGCTTCAATGCAAACTGAGGAGAAAGAATACTTTAAGCCGGTAATTAATACACAGCTATAAAGTCCTCTCTGAGATGTTATACAATGGGGCAGATCCACACTATACACTTAAAGTACAAAATTTCCCTCAAAGGATCCTGGGAACTGTAATTCCCCTCTCACAGAGCTACAATTCCCAGCACTTTTACCAAAGTCCAGTTCCCAGGAGTCTATGCTGGGCTTGTGTGACCACCACATAATTTCTAAAATGTCCTGAACTAACAGAATATCTATCTTAACCAACCTGTGGTAAGCAAACTTAATAAGACTAGCAAATATCATTAAATGCCCTGCGCAAGGACGCTAGGAATCGTAACCGTTCTCCCCTTGCCCTTCTGCTGCCTTAGCCTCTGAAGGAAAATAATTGTTGGCAGAACTGCCCTGAAGAGCAACTCTATGCTCAAGTGACTTGTAATTGCTCCAGCAAACATAATGTTGAGCTCCAATGATTTTCAACATTACAGGTCAGGCAATATAAAGAAGCCTTCATTGAGTCTTAGCAAGGTTATTTATAGATGTTCACTAGATCTGATGGGAGGAAAGGAAAATGTGCACAGAAATAAATGTTATCATGGTAAACGCTGGCCTGATCCTGTGAGGTTCTGCTGTTAACTGTAAAGCGGGAAACAGTGTTCCACTAAGGCTGCAAGGTCCAGGCAACGTGCAAGGGAAGCTAAGGAAGAGCAGAGGGTGACTGACTACCACCAGCAAATAGCAGGACAGAGAGAAGGAAGCCAGGAGTGTCTACAATGCAAGCCTTCAAAGGGCATGAAAAGCTCACATGTTTCAGGTGCCCTTTCCTAAAGGGTCTAAGTAATGATGTTTTTAACACAGCTGATTATAATTTGGTTTATGATAACCTTTATATAATGTTTCTGGCCTTTTTAAAAATGCTGTTTTCTAACTGTTTTCGAATTGTTTGGTGATTCTAATGTCTTTTATATTTTGCTTTTGCAAGCTGTCTCCTGAGGACTATAAGCAGCCCTAAAAGACAGCCATGTGTGTGTGTGTGTGTGTGTGTGTGTGTGTGCACATGCGCGCATGTGTACTTATATACATTAACACACATATTGGACGTCCAGGAACAGATCTGATTTCAAAACTCCAAAACAAACTAAGATAGGAAGGAGTTAGACTGTTCTAAATACTGTGCTCATTAACATTTCAAAGCTAATTCCATGGAATTTTGAAAGTAGTTAAATGGGTGATTAGTGCTAAAAATTACTCTTTCTTCAAAGCTCTGTGCTTCTCTTATTCTTGCTCTACTTAAATGAAGCAAAGACCTCATTCTGGCAGAGGGAATCCAGTATAGCACTGATATTTATTTAACAGCATCCTTTCCAGAGGTTTTTTATAGGCACTATATAGTACTGCACATTTTAAGGACAACAAAAATGCATTCCGCTCCCCGCTCCCCCAGAAAGCTGTTTAATTAATATGCTGATTAATTTATAGAAATAGGGAATTCCTTATGGGCAACACACACACCAGCATGCCCTGATCTCTATGTTTATGCACATTGCATTTTTTTCTATAATATTTTTAAATTGTGATCATTGAAGTGCCGTCCATTATTACAGTCAGTTGAGATCCTATCAGCAATGTGTAACAAAGATTGCCTCTGATTTAAATTTCATAGGGCCTGTTATGTGCTGCAGTCAAGCATGTAATAGATGCCGTATCAAAAATAGCACACCCTCTCTTGGCAACATCATTTGTCAAACCACAATGGACAGGTGGAGACCAATACATGTTTTACACATTAAGCATTTGGGGAACGAGTTGATGACAGCTCCCATCCAACCATGCCCTTGTATTTTACACTACGTAAGATGATGCCTTGGCAGTACCCATTTTGCATGGATGTGGGGGTGGAGGTGAACAAGGTGGCAGCATGGCTTCAATGGATGATGGCTCCTCCTCCTCATGCCACCACCACCACCATCAGGGGGCTGCTTCAACCCGCCTTCCTCTCTGCGGCAGGAAGAGGAGGAGCCAGCCACAGAAGCCACACTGCGTTTGGCTCCATGCTCGACCTCCTCCGCCCCCTGATTTTTTGGAACATTAGGGGGCTGCTCCTCCCCCTAAAAATATTGGGGGAACTAAGAGTTGGCCACCATGAGTTGGTCCTCTGGATCAAGATGAATGCTCAACAAACAGGTCTGGAAATGCCCCTTGACTCTTAAGGTGGCTGTTCCACACACACATGGGAATAAGCCCAACAAAGTGAACTTGGATTGATTTAAGCAGGCCTCTCTTTTTTAAAGCCAGAACTCACCAGAACTCAGTTCCAGCACCTCTCAGGTGGGCCCCATTGCCATTATAAGAGAACAAGGGGAGTTCCGGCACCTCTCTTTCTAGAAAAATAGCACTGGATTTAAGCATAAATCACTGTCCTTAGCAGAAAGTTATGCCAGTCTATAAAATATCACATGGAAAGCATCAACACTTGTTACTATCCCCTAGAAAGACCTCTTTAGGCTAGTGAAGGATCCAGAAGCATCTTGTTTATACATGTGTCTTTTTCAGGGCTATATATCTTAATTCCACCAGCATTATGACTGCAATCTGGGGCTCATTTACTCACAATATTTTACCGTATATTTTAGTACATGGGTGATATGAAAAAGTAGCCCTGTGTCACCAAGTGCTCTAATTGCAAATGGGACATCATAGAAGCCCAGAATCAAACAATTTTGTCCATTAGCTATTGCTCATGGCCAGTTTGAATTTAATCCAGCTACATGAACAAGAATTTAAAAGCACACTACACTTTTCTTCCAGTTCAACTTATCAATTTTTGAACCATTTGGGGGAACCATTCTTAACAAACATAGTTAAGAATTAGTAAGGACATTTTTATTTACCGCATAATTTATTACATTATATTTGAATAAAATCTACATTAAACAGCAGGTCTCAAAAAGTGATGAAAGGGTGCAATGTTACAGGAATGCTAAAGAAAGGTGAGACCTCTAGAACAAATGAAAAAGTAAGATTGATAATGTACATTCATTTAACGGCAACTATAAAAATTCTACTGCAGGAATAAGACCCTTCATAGATCTACAGAAACCATTTCAACAGCTCTCTTTCCAAAGAGGTAATTTATGCTTAATATGGGATACCTTGCTATATATGTGCACATATATATGGGTTAAATTACTGCACCTGTCAAGGCCTCTGTGTAGCATAGCTCCATCTAATTATGTTGTAAAACCTGTTCATTACATGGAAATTGTCTTTTCAGTGGGTGGTTTTTTGTTTTGTTCAGTCATGGTCTATAATGCTAAATATATGTTAAAACTGACAGAGGGGAAAGTGCTTAGCCTGTGCTGGAGGAATTGGGGGGTGGCAGAAAATTTTCTTTGCCCTAAAGGGAGCATGGGGCACTGAACACATTACTGTTTGATTTTATCTATTAAGTCAGGATGAAGCTCAAGGTCGTTTTTCTTTTTATATGAATGGGCCATTGCACAGTAGCAAGCGAAAGCACATACAGCTTTCGGAGGAGCGGGGGGGGGGTGTATGTGTATGTTTAGGGATGGGAGAGAAATTTGGATTGCATTTTAATGTGAAACTCAACTACAGTGGTACCTCAGGTTAAGAACTTAATTCATTCTGGAGGTCCGTTCTTAACCTGAAACTGTTCTTAACTTGAGGTACCACTTTAGCTAATGGGGCCTCCCACTGCCGCCATGCGATTTCTGTTCTCATCCTGAAGGTAAAGTTCTTAACCCGAGGTACTATTTCTGGGTTAGTGGAGTCTGTAACCTGAAGCGTCTGTAACCCAAGGTACCACTGTAGTTCATACTTCCTGAAACAACATGCAAACTGAAATACAGCTGTTCCTGGAAATTCACACTTCTACAAATTTTGTGATGCGATTCTCCAACCCAAAAATGTGTACAAAAATGCATGTGTTAGGGGAAAGTGTATGGGGTGTTGGGAGAGGGGTAGCACCTCTGGTCACACCCCAGGAACAACTTCAACTGAACAGCTAAGACACGTGAGGGAAGCCGATGGGTCTTAAACCCTCAGGGCATTAGGGACTTCTCCTGCATGTGAAGACAGGTGTACTGAGCAGGCGATACCAACAGTAGGTCCAACGGTCATGAAGGTGGTTTCTGCTTGTGCTCTAGAGGGAAGTGAGGGGCAGGTGGGGCTCGTTAGCCTGGGAAAGTAGCCCATCTAGGAAAAGGAAAAACTCTGCAGTGGAGGGTGTTTTCCTGTGACCAGTGTTAAAATAAGATTCACTTGCCAACGCACACAATTTCTGTAAGTGGACCAGGAAGTGGGTGCCATTTTGTCCTTCACCTCAAGCAGCAAAATGTCTTGGGCTACCCATGGCTGTTCCAAGAGGGATGGGACACTTGGAGAGGCTTTCAATCAGATGAAAGGCCACAGCTTTTTTCAAACACAACCAATTATCGTTCTCTCTCTCAGCTTTCTAATGGTCCCTTCCATGGTGAATGCTGATGATGTGTTTCAAGGGTATGCTTGAGGCACAAAATGTATTTATTTTATGGAGACAATAGTTCTGTGCATTCAGTAAGCATGGAGGGGCAGGGCTACAATTGTGGCAGCAAGTCTAACCTGCTGCATACACCCAACATTCACACATTGGTCATATTGTCTGCATAAGGATTAAGCATGAACTCCCAACTTGCCTATCCATCACCAGTAAAAATGCAGCGTGCAGATCACACAATAGGTTCCAATGTGCATTGGGGGTCTACACACCTAGACCTTTATGCAACTATTATAATTAATGAATGTTGCTAGGGTTGCAGATGTAGTGGGGCCTGCTTCTACAGTAATTGTCTCCCTTCATCCACAATTTAATTTAATGTCTGCACAGGACTATACCATTAAGCACATTTGGAAAAATCTGCGATTGTTCACCACGCTAGCTGCGCATTAATTTTAATATATGATTAACACATACTCCAATGAGCACTCTCTTAACCACTACTAAATGTTTGAATGTCAAATTACTTATTTGAAAATATGCAGGTCAGCAGCTCCTCACTTGAGAAATTAAATAAACTAGTATTCATTCGTTGCATTTGTGAAGCGTTTTTCTTAGGCCATTTAAGTAAAAAAAAATTTCATGCCATTCTTCTCTATGGACATCTTTAGACATTTCTGAGGGAAAGAAGAAACAAACAAGACAGCTCCGGGCAATGCAATGCTATATCCATCGGAAGCATTGTGTTTTTTTCTCAATTTTCCTTCCTTAGCAGCTGGCCTGAAGGAACTAAACTTAGCAGGACTGAGGTGTGGGAAACCAGATAGCACATTCTAGGGCCTGAGAGGAAATGCAAGGCTCAATGTGTTTGAGGTTAAGATTAATGCTTGACTTCCTCCGGGGCTATTTTAAACAGTGGTAAAGGATGGCTTGCTTTCTTATAACAAAATGACAGATGATCAAAAGGTTGACTATGATCTGTATGTCAGGCATTCGTGCCCCTGTTGTAGCCCTTTACTTGACAGGGGCATTTGAACACAGTGGCTTCTACTTCCTTTCCTCTTTGTTTACCCAAAACATGCCGGTAACTGGGAAAGGCAATGTATCAGCTGGGGAAGGACCAGCGGACTTTGCATGTGTCCGCAAAGCGGAGAGCAGCTGGCTTAGTTTTGAACAAAGTGTGAAATTGTAGGGACTGGGAATACTGCTGTCTCAGTACTGAAAATTAATGTGGTGATGTATTCTGGACTGACACTCTGGGATGCTAAATAGCTGAAGCCCAACCTCCCAAACTGATTGGTGCAGCTGCTGCTAAGGTGGAACTACTTTGTCTCCAAGCCACCCAGCTTTTCTTCCTCTTCTAGAAGCACAAATGAGTCCCTCAGCACATTCGAGAAACTCCTAAGATTCTTCAGTTGTGGATCATGGGACAAATTCACCAAAGCGCAAAGCGGTGCTTTTTTTCAGCGAGTACTCAAGGGTACACAATACTGGGGCTTATCAAACAACCGCTTATCACTCCAATGTGCTGTTCCCTGAGTGAAATATTCTTTCCACTGTGACTAGCAAAACCAGTGTCTAGAACATGGATTTATAACACACTCCCAACATTATAATTACATTTTTTTCCATGTGGATTATTACAATTGTTTCCCCACACAAATTGTAATAGGCCACAGTTGCAATCTGGCCCTTATTACTCTGATTCACATAACCGTTAACAACATTCAATTATTAATACTCTCTCTTAACTAGCAATCTGGTGACTGGTTTCCTAACAACCCTTTGTCATTTCTCTCCTGTGTGAAACAGCAACACAAGGCTTATTGAACAGGTCTCATATCACACTGGGGCGCTGGTCCCTCAGGGGAAATCTCTCTATTCTAGCTAGCATATTAGGTATGAGGGGCCTGCTTTTTGAAGCTTTGACCTTTCTTCCTTATACGGCATCTGCACTTAAATGTAAGATTTAGGGAAAACCCAAATACCTCAGATTGTGACACGGGAGTTATGCATACATACCTAGGCACGTATACCCCTACCTATATGGTTATCTTCTACAACTGAGACACAGATGGCTGCTTTATGCTGAGTCAGACCATTAGTCCATCTTGCTCACTATTGTCTACTCACTAGACAATACTGTGGGCAGCCAGTGACAAGCATCCTTCGTTTTGCAGGTTCTTGTACAAAATGCTTTCCCCGCTCCCCTTCCAATTTAGTTTGATGATTCACCAGGATCCAATTCCATACCTCTTGATCAGAGGCAAAACATTATTATGAGAAGGCATTTACAGTGGTACCTTGGGTTACATATGCTTCAGGTTACATACGCTTCAGGTTACATACGCTTCAGGTTACAGACTCCGCTAACCTAGAAATAGTGCTTCAGGTTAAGAACTTTGCTTCAGGTTGAGAACAGAAATCGTGCTCCGGCAGCGGCAGCGGGAGGCCTCAATAGCTAAAGTGGTGCTTCAGGTTAAGAACAGTTTCAGGTTAAGTACAGACCTCCAGAACGAATTAAGTACTTAACCCAAGGTACCACTGTAATTAAATATGACGTACACATCTCCAGAATGTATATAAATTATAGATGCATACTTATGGCAAATATTAATAGGCATGACAATCTTGGATTGGTAGGCAGTGAGTCAACTTCAGACTGGGTGCATTTCTGTTGGGGGGGGTGGATTAATGTACAACTGCACCGTATGACAAAATGATCATATGTGAAGATTTCTGAGTTTGATCCTTCCCTACAGAGCTTGTACACTCTCCTGTCACTGCTGGCAGCAGCTCTGGGGTCCAGGCAGGGGTCTATCCCCACCACATCTGGCATGACTTTCATGTGCCCACATAGGACAGACACCTAAGAGTTGACACGTGTACACCTGTTCATGCACCTTGTTCAACATGCACCAACCCAAGCCTTGCTCCACTGCAAATTATACACCCCAGTGTGTAAACTGCCCCTTAATTAATTGATGGACTTCCTTGCCCCAGATGTTGCGAATGTGAGAGTCAGTGGTACAGATAGCACTAAGAACAGAGAGACCTATCTTCTGCATGAATTTGGTCGATCAATGGCTATTAGTCATGAGACATGGGACTTAACAGTGTATTCCCATCTGCTAAGTGGAGTGTTCCTATCCAGGACTCCTGAGAAGGAGCTTTGTTCAGTAGTCTTGTTCAGGCCTCTCGGGGAGAGGAAAGTTTCAGGAGTAAGAAAAGAATAAAGAACGTGATTTTCCTCCCCTTCCGCCATCCCAAGGCCTCTGCTGGCTGGGCTATAAAGCAGTAGGAGGCTGCCAAATGCAAATATGAGTTTTTACAGCTAAATAGGGGAGGAGGGCCCACACTTCTGGAGAAAGAGAAAAAGTCGGGGGGGGGGGGACAGGGCACTGCTCTTAAAACAGGACAGATATAATCTCACTCCTTCTCTAAGACACATCATACAATCTGTCAGCATGAAAAAGTGAGTTTCCTCTTTTCCCTCCATCCCCCGTTTTCCTTCTTTGGATTGGTTTTGTCTTGTTTTCAGCTAAAATTCTCTGCTCGAACCATTCTCATCAAAAGATTTAATTTACAGACTTGCATAGCCTGCCTGCTTTCTGCCAGCAAGGTGTGCTGGCTGAGGATGATTGCAGTTGTAGTCCAAAACATATGGAAGGCAACAGACTGGCAAAGGTATAGTCAGGCAGCTTTGGGGTTTTCTATTATGTTTAAGTCATTTTGATTTATATACTTGTATAATCCTGCTTGCCTAGGGAGTTCCCTCAGTACGTCAAAACCAGCACTTTATCTTTGGGCGGCCCTGCTTCACTTCCAAAATCATAGGCACTTCACAACCTGAGTTTGCTATTATTGGGAACAAGTGGGACCTGCAACAAAATGTTGCAATGCTGAGTGCTCCTGTTCAGTGATTCACCCAAAAAGCCAAGCTGCATTTTCAAGATACTATGTTCTACTTCCCCTCCCAATTTCCAGTTTTCTATTTTCTCCCCAAGCAGACACTCAGCATTTTGTGGCCACAAAACCTGCTGTCTTCCTTTGGCATTTTTAGGGTGGGGTTTTGTGTTGTGTATGTTTTGCCCTCTTAGGATTTCATCCTAAATGTTTGTACCTCTGGGAACCTTGGGGTTCTTCTGAGCATGCTCATACTTTCCTCTTGTTTCTCAGTGGCCTCATTTTGGCTGCAGCAGCTGAGTTCATTGTTGGAAGGAAAGATGACAACTAAATTGAAACTGCATGTTCAGAAGCGGTATGCTTTTGATGATCATCGGCAGGGAACAAGCAACAGCAGGAACCAAACATCTCCATCATGCCTTACTTCAGGGTTTGGATAAGTGTATAGCTAACCACTGTTGGCAACAGATGAGACTGAGTCTGGGGGCACCTAAGGTTCTTATGCCAGCTCAGCATCAGGGGCAGACTTTGGCAATATGGCGCCCAAAGCGAGGACAACATTTGGTGCTCCCTAAATATTTCTTATTTTAATGCCCTCCTCAGTTGATAAAGCATGAGACACTTAATCTCACGGTTGTGGGTTCAGGCCCCATGTTGGGCACAAGGATTCCTGCATTGCAGGGGGTTGGACTAGATGATCCTTGTGGTCCCTTCCGACTATACAATTCTATAATTCTATGCCCATGATGGATAGCCTTTCATTCTGTGCATGCTCTCAATTTCACTATGTCCATTGCGGCAGCCTTTGGCTATGTGCAATAAAACTGACTGAGACTGAGACTATGTCATAGGTATGGCAACTGAATTGCCCATCTGACCAGGGCATAACTTTGAGTAGACACCCATATAAATATAGGATTGTTGTTGTTGTTTTGTGCCTCCTTGGCTTGGCACCCTGTGGAGGAACACCTTGCACCACTAGCATTAGCTCCTGGTGTAGTAGTGCTAGTGCCAAACATCACTCCAAAACACACACATTGAGGAGGAGAGTTCTTTCACAAAAGCTCTGAGCTAAGGGCCACATGGCCACTTCCTTTGGTTGATGGAAGTTCCAGTCTCAAAGTGCCTGGGGCAATATTACAATCCAGCAACAAAACTTCTATGCCAGCAACAAAATAATCTCAACATGGTGACCCAATTTTTTCAGGTTGCTTATGCCTCTTACGTATTACAAAAACCTCAGCACCAACTAGGGCCATTGTTGTGTATGACTCAGTAGACGGGAATGATTAATGTAGACTGTTTTCTTGTTTAACTATGTTGCTTTGAAGGCTCCTTTGTGAAGGTAGGTTAGCAGAAGCTGAATTAAATGTAAGGAATCTAGGAAAGGTGACGTGTCATGAAAGCCCACCTCACAAAAATGGAACAAGATACAAGAGGTTTATTAGGTTATTGTGTAAATTCAACCTTTTTTCTTTTCTTTTGGAGGAAATAGAGGGTTTTATTTTTTTTTAGGAAATAAAAGTATCAGTCACAGAAATAGGTGGCATTCTTTATGGTACCATTTGAAGTCCATCTTCATCTGGGAAATATTTGGCTTATTTTCTTGTTTTGCCTTCTACAATATTGCACTACAAATATTTGGGGCATTAAGTAGGCCAGACACAATTTAACTAACAGAGCAACTCAAAGCAGACCTTTGCAGCTCCCCAGAACTGGGTTGAAATAACATCACAAATAATTAATGTTACAGAAAAGGTTATATTTTTATTTGCGCTACTATTCCCCCAAGCACAGGCAAAAATATTGAACCAATAAAGTCTATTTTATCTGACCACTCATACGTAAACACTTAAACACCAAGACACTGTTTACTTGCAGATAATAGCTTGCTATTAGACCCAAAGAGTGTGAGAGAGAGGGGAAATTGCTAAATAATTCAAATAACAATTTGTGGAAAATGCAGTATTCCATTAATATTGTAAGTGGAAAAACTCTGAACATTCAGAAGAACATTTATGAGTGGAAACTTGTCAAATTCATTTTTAATAGCCAGCATTTCAGTCTATTTTTTGCAACCAGAAAATATTTAGGCAGATGGCAAACTGCTTGTGTTTACTGCTTGTAAGTGGCAATAAATCGACATCCTCTTATCCTGTGCTGCCACAACTTACCCTCTCTCTTACCCTCTGGTCATTTGTCCTCTTCCACTTGCTAAATGTTTTCGTTACATGTTGGAGATATGAGCCTTTTTCTCCCCCCAAAAATTCAGAAGCAGCCCTTAAGTAACATGGGAATTAATATGTACATTTGTACATTTTGATTTTGGTATTGTTAAGGTTGTCAGCGACAGGTTATACACCTGTCCCAACTTGATTGTCCTGGCTGCTGGTTGTTACCTATAAAGCCTTAAATGGCTCAGAACTGCAGTATCTCAAGGACAGGCTCCCTCCGTATGGACCTACATGGACCCTGCAATCATCATCCAAGGCCCTAATTGTTTTGTTCATGTTCCTATTATGCATTTTGTGGTTTTTATGTTGTGAACCGCCCTGGAATCTGCAGAGGAATACAAATTTATTAAATACAAATTTAATAAATAAATAATTTCTCCTCCCTCTAGGTTTTTTTTTTTTGGTTTGTTTGTTTGCTTAGCTGATAGCTAAAGATACCGTATTTTTCGCTCCATGGGGTGCACCGGACCATAGGGCGCACCTAGTTTTTAGGGGGGGAAATAAAGAAAGGCTTGCGGATAGCTTCCTGAAGCCTGCATTCGCTCCATAGGACGCACACACATTTCCCCTTCATTTTTGGAGGGGAAAAAGTGCGTCCTATAGAGCAAAAAATACGGTACTTTCTCAACAGATACTGGTGGCTGGTGCCTACTGGCTACTGCATATTCCACCTGCCTGGATACAGGGCCAGGGAGAAATAGTCTGACATTTTGGAATGTAGCCAGCAGATGAAGGTTTTGCAGCTAGCTGCTGAGAAGGGACAAGGTGGAGACAGGATATGCTGTTTGCCTTTGAATCTGATGCTACTTAAAAGCCTAGCCCTCGCTAATGGGTCATTGCTTGCTGCCCAAAGTTCAGCTTGTATATTAATTTATAAAGGAAGAGGTAATATAAACATGGCTCCAGTACTCTCCACCCAGGAAAATGGCCTTGTAAAAGGCCAGTATTTCCTACCTCTGTTTGGACATGCAAACAGTATCAACCACAGATTGATTCAACATGAGTTTTACCAATTTATAATTACAGCAACTACAGAGCAGCTGCTTTGGGGCATGGGGCAATAAATGAATACAGTCGGAAATGAATTATAATAATACTTACAGTGTGTTGTTACAGTGTTGGAGAGATGAGGGAAAGCTGCTTGTTTTCATATTTTTGAGTTAGAATTCTATGAACCTTTTTTATTACAAATGTATCAGTAAACTGTCTCTAAACCTTTTTATTCACTACTACTGCATTTTCATGTGTTACTTTTTATTATTTCTATGTGGCAAATTGAAGACCTTGTTTGGTATAGAAAAGCCAAGATACCAAGATACTATTCAAAACAGTAAGAATTTACCTACCCACTCGCTGATGTAAAATACATTTTATCATTGATGTATTTTTTATGAGGCAGGGATCCAAGTTACAAAAGTTTGTGAAAGTGAGTAGTCTGGGTATATATTTATATATCTACAGAAATATTTCGCCTCCGTCATGCAAACATTGCCATATTGGTGCTATTTAAGGGAGATAGGGAGTGTCAGTATTTCAGATAACTTCTGATTATGCCTCAGAACACCTATGTTTCCAGATATTATAAGGTACAGCAAACAAATAAATGTTCTTTAGCAATAAACTAGAATTGAACAGAGAAGATTTGTTTGGGGTTTTTTTCTTTTCTTGACTCCTTCAGAAAGCTGGTTTTTGAGCCTTGTAGTGAATCTAGCAGTCATCACTACCTCTGGCCATCTAATGAAACAACACGGTGCCCTTACACCTTGCAGGATAAAGGTATATTAATAATTTAATTCACTTTGCAATCAGTCCTTTCACTTTTTTGATATCAATGGCTTCTCTGATTCTAAAACCATAAGGGAGACCCCATTACTGCCACCTTCTGGTTCAATCTGTTCCTCACAGTCACTTCCAAATTTAGACCAGGTGATCACATCTTAAGACACTGCTTAAAGCAAAAGCATTTGACAGAAAAACCTCAAGCTGTTATTAAATGCTAGTTTTATCACACCAATACAGAGGAGCAGCCTGTTAAAAAAAAAGATAGCTCTAGCAATATCTCTCTTCTGGCCTCTTTACTAGCGAAACGGAAATCTATAAACTTATTATCTAGGGTTTAGATAAATTAAAATAGCATTTTCTGTTGCACCTTGAAGATTTAGAGTCCTTGCAATAGCATTAATCTGATGCTATTGCCCAACAGAATCTGCATTATCTCTCTATGGACAAGGTTAATATGAACAAATCACATTAAATATACATTTATATAAATAGATAATGTTTCAGTTGATACAGCTGGGAATCTTTCAGTTTCCACATTTATTTTCACAAGTGAGGATTTATACAAAGGATCAGCAGGTAGCAGATCCAGGGCCCTCTGTGATACACTTTTCCTTGTCGCCAGTGCTATTTTTCTAGAGAAAGAGGTGCCAGAAATCACCATGAAAACACCTCCCTTGTTTTCTTATAATGGCAATGGAGCCCACCTGAGGGGTGCCGGAACTGAGTTCCAGTGAGTTCTGGCTGAAAAAAGCCCTGCTTGTTGCCAATTCAGATGGATTGGAGCAGCAGGAAATCATCTGATGCTCAGAGTCTGTGTCAATCCTGCAGAAGAAGTCGGGGAAGAGGACGCTAATACTCAGGGTCTCCTGAGACATCTTCTGAGTCCATGTTATAAGGCAGGGCTCTTTGACATTACTTATGAGGGCTCTTTTTAGAGTTGATTGAGGAAGAGCTTCAGCTGAGGGACCTGGACATTATGGCTGCTGTCTGTGAGATGGCTGCAGCCATATTTAGGGAAGCTTTTAATGTTTGATGTATTACAGTATTTTAATTTTATTTTTTTGGAAGCCACCCAGAGTGGCTGGGGAAGCCCAGTCAGATGGGCGGGGTATAAATTATTATTATTATTATTATTATTATTATTATTATTATTATCATCTGCATGCCTTTTTGGATGACTGCTCAGGGTCATCCAAAATGTGGAAAGAGGGGCAACTGGCCTTTGTCTTTCTAACTACCAGCAAGCTGAGGGAGGGGACCCCACCCATTTGCTGTCTGGCACAGAGCCACTTCCTTTGTTGCCTTAATAGCCCATACTGAGAGGGCCATTACCTCACCAGGAAGCTAGCCTGGCTATTCCAGGAACTGGATTCGTGCTAGATCCAGGAATTAGAATGGGGCTCAGGCATATAGCCTACCTCTTGGTAGCAATAAGGCTACCAAGCAGCTTCATTTTGGGAGTGCTGCGTTTTACTACCCAAGTAAGTTTTAGAAACAAGTGGTCATTTGTGCTATTCTTCAAGATTATTTGCGGGCCCTTGGGAAACGGCAGTTTAAAATTTGATTAGGAGGTGCTGCAGTTCCTAGAGGCAGAAGGTGCAATATCTTGTGAGCATCTGCTTGACTGCCCAGAGAAAATGAGCAAAGTTCCATTGTGCGCATTATGCCTCCTGGGCTCCATTACCTAATGTACACATTGAAGTCTGATGCAGGAATACAGCGTTCTTGATACACTTTGTATAAATAACCTGCAAGCAACATCTTGAAGGGATAAAGGCTTACAAGATACTTAGAAACACAATTTCCGCTGCGAAAAACAGAAGTTTGTCCTCTCACTCCCACACTAATTTTTTTTTTTGGCAAGCACCTTAATTTCAGATGCTGCCATAAGTTCTGACAACGGGAGCACTGGAATAATCGGAAAGCACACTTGAGGGTCCCCACGCGGAAAACATTTGGCACAAGTAGTGTGTGGATGTTTTATGCTTGCTGTTTGCAGAACAGAGAAGCTCATCAGATGGCCAGGCAATTAGGGAATCATAGCAAGCACAATTCCCCCACAGCTAAAAGCAAAGCTAAAAGAACAGACGTAATTCTAGCTGATTTTTACGGCTATGTCAGGGACAACAGCTCCATCAGCCTCGCTTTGTATCATCACAGATTTAGGTATGTGCCTTCCTCTGATTTTCAGCTGCCACTAACTCACCAGGAATGCCTTCAGAACCTCATAGTAGCATGTATAGCAGACTTAGGCATGAGATGGATGCCAATGCTAGAGACAACTGTCTCTCTCACTGACGGTTTACTCCAACTGACACTAACCTCCAGCCAATCAGTCTGCTGTCACCCAGACCAATCAGATTGAATTTACCTGATCCACGCTCCATCTAATAAGATTTTTAAGCCATCATCTCTCTCTCCACTGTCAGAACCTGTCATCTGATCTACCGCTGCACAGGCTTGCAACATTTTTAATAGTACACAGCATCAAACCTTTAAAGTCACAGTCACAGAACACCCCCTCCCTCAAATAATAATAATAATAATAATAATAACATGAACATAAACATATATGCAGCGTTCCTCCACAGACTACATGGTGGCTGTTTAAGGGACGCGGGTGACACTGTGGGTTAAACCACAGAGCCTAGGACTTGCCGATCAGAAGGTCGGTGGTTCGAATCCCCGCGATGACGTGAGTTGCCGTTGCTCGGTCCCTGCTCCTGCCAACCTAGCAGTTCGAAAGCACGTTAATGTGCAAGTAGATCAATAGGTACTGCTCCGGCGGGAAGGTAAACGGCATTTCCGTGCGCTGCTCTGGTTCGCCAGAAGCGGCTTAGTCATGCTGGCCTCATTACCCAGAAGCTGTACGCCGGCTCCCTCGGCCAATAAAGTGAGATGAGTGCCGCAACCCCAGAGTCGGCCACGACTGGACCTAATGGTCAGGGGTCCCTTTACCTATGGCTGTTTAAACTGTGCGGGGGCATTGCTTTTTTTGTTACTAGTTGTGTATTTTTGTGTTTAATATTGTAAAGCTCCCTGTGATCCTTGGATGAAGAGTGCTATAGAAATGCATGATTCTGGCTTTGCAACTAGAATGAAAGATGTGCATACCTGGAAACTGAAGGCTAGCTCAGCTGTCATCTTACCCTGCCTCCCCTGCTCCCTTTTTTGGCATTTAAAGGCAGCACACAGGCATTCATATGTTTATCCATTCGGTCATTGCCTAATTCATTTTTAAAATAATTGTTCAAAGTACAGAATTGCTCCAGGCAAGGGTTTTTGGTGACATCATGGCTCCAGGAGCCAACCAGAACCAGGCATTTGTTTATTCAATTATTTTCAATAAAAAAAAATGCCACTGTTTAGCTAAGACATTTCCAGAGTAGTTAACAGTATTATAATTAAATATGATGTAATAAAAGAAATTCAAACAAGACAGGAAACAACCAGACAAAACAATCACAGCAGAGATGGGGAGGAGGGGAACCTGGTAAACAAAAACAAAATGGTGGAAAGCCAACTCAATCAATTAAGATCATCTAACTGACACGCTAAAATGTTGTACTTTGTCTACTCTATGCATACAGTATTGGAAGCTTAGATCTGAATTGACTTTGTCCCTATGAACTTAAGGGGACCCACTTGCAACTGAGATAACGCCTGTCTTCAAAATCCCTCAATTGGTTCCATTTCTTGGTCACAATAGTGAGTGACTGAACGCACGACAAAAAAGGCAGAGATCATTCTCTCATACCAACGTGCCTCCCTTGATTCAGTGCTTCCTTTCCTACCTCAGCAACCTGGCATCTGACTCCAGACGCTGTCTTAGTTCCTGGCAGGCCCAAAAAGGATGCTTTCCCTGTAAGTCAAGATCTAATTTAGTCTCTTTGGAAATGTTACATGGCCATTTAATGATGCAGAGGAGGGAAACAGAAATACTAACAAGATATTCATTTCCTCTGTTTTTTTTCTGATCTAATCTAGCCGTCAGGAAATATGGAAAATCATGGTAATGTGTGGGTTTTGCTGTTTGTATTCCAAGCATCACACGCTTCTCAGCTTTGTTTTTGCCCCCAGCCTGCTTCGAAGCAACATTCGAGAACCAGAAAACCAGTGTGGTGTAGTGGTTAAGAGCGGTAGTCTCGTAATCTGGGGAACCGGGTTTGCGTCTCCGCTCCTGCACATGCAGCTGCTGGGTGACCTTGGGCCAGTCACACTTCTCTGAAGTCTCTCAGCCCCACTCACCTCACAGAGTGTTTGTTGTGGGGGAGGAAGGGAAAGGAGAATGTTAGCCGCTTTGAGACTCCTTCGGATAGTGATAAAGCGGGATATCAAATCCAAACTCTTCTTCTTCTTCTTTTAGCATGGTACAGATGAGGTAACCCACACAATAACAACCATTGGATACAGCCCTATATTTCTTACCATGCAGATTGATTTGTCTGTTATTGAGCGAACTCAGGATCCATTGACTGTGGTTGGAATGGAACATACAGCCTTTGATTTGGATCTTTAATTCCTCTTATGCTCTATACCAAGGGTAGCCTGTGAAAATTGCCTCTTGAATATGCTGGGCTCAGGCTGCTAAGGGCTATGTAGATCATTATTTCCACTTTGGAATCAATCCAGAACGCAACAGGGAACCAAGGCAGCCACTGAAATGATGCTTTCCCACCTAGGCTCGTAGTAAAAATTTGAGTAAGACTTCATTGGAGAAAAATGTTACAGTAGAAGGAGTCCCAGGACTGCCCATTCTCGTATGGACAAACATAAATTACGGAAAAGAAAGGGGCAAACTTGCTGCAACAAGACTGGAGAGAGGAGATAGACCCCAGACATTTAGAGGCACTCTCTAATATCTCCCGAGCTTTATCGCTGAAATGGGGGGGGGGGGCTTACGTTTTATTTGGGCTAAAATTCAGTGGGAGGAAGGGAGTAACTTCTTGTTTTGTATTTTTAAAAGCTTATTATTCTCAACAGAGCAAGGGAGAACAACAAAAATAAGCAGGCTTATGTGCTCTGATTCCTTCACTGAATCAAGACCCATGGTCTCAGATGTGGATCCAGTTGCTCCACTTGCATGGTGCAAGTTGCATTCCAAGGGAAAGGGTTCTAATGTGATCTCCATCCATGCGATATAGATCTCCAACCAGTCTCAGAGATTTGCATGTGCCAGTTCAGAACCGTCTGCAGTATTTTGATGCTTAGTGAACTAGTCAACACATCTGATAAGTATGGCCTCATCAACACATGAACAGTATATTTGATGGTGGCATCACAAGACTGAACGGACCTAGGATAAGTTTTCACCAGAACACTTCACAATCTAGTTTTCTCTAAAGATCTTTAATTTCTTAGGTGGTAAAATGTCTGAAGTTTGTCAGGCTCAAGAGAGCTCAAAGGGGCTGAGATTAGGCCCATTGCAACCCTCTAATCAGTGTTTTCAAATGACTGTTTCCTAATAAATTTAATGTTGTGGGGTTGTTTTAAAGACGGAGACAATCTCCTCAAGGGATAAGTATGTTACTTCAGTGGTCCATTTGCATCTGTTTAAGTTATCAAGTCCTCATGTTTTTATTTCTAAGTCCATTTTTTGCCCATATGTCCACCCACCCATCCCATTCATGAAGAGCTCGGAGTTGTGGATTTGGCAAATCCAACAGCCAGTTCTGTTGTTCTAATTCATAAGGATGCCGATGGGCCTATGGGATATGGCCAGCAATTTGAAGAAAAACCACAGGAGGTTTCTCTTTGGTTGATTTATGGCAACCTGTCATGATTACGATACATACACAGAATGACTGTAATATATACCAGAGTCAAGTGGTGCTTCTAGAAGCGAAGAAAAAATGTTTGAAAGAAGGGTTTTGTCAATGTTTGGCCTGAAGGCAAAGGATTGGTTAAATCATAACTTGAATCACACAGGCCCAGTTTCAACTGTAAACTGGAGTGCTAGTGTTTCCACCTGATCTCCTTCCCTTGAGTGCCTCCTATGCCTCCCCCAAATCACTCTGGAGGGTCAGTAGAACCCCCAGAACAGCATGTGGGGCAGTGGAAAGAGAGGGGAGATTGGTCTGCTGGGCAAGCAGAAATACTTGTGCTAATGCAAGAATCAGAAGAGTGCAATGTTGAATTCCGCCCACAGTGTTTATTTTTGTCACCAGCTAGTTCCTTATTTCAATGGAGCACTGATTCCAGCTCATCTCTGGTCAGCCACATAGGCCAAGTTACAGGCACTGAAATCCTACCACATGCAGACAGTTGTGTAAAGAAAGTAACATCAAATCTGATGGACCACACAGCTTTCTACTAGTGATTTGTGTAAGAGTTGTCTTTCAAAAATGTGCCTGAAAAAAAGCTTTTCATGGTCGGCGGCATCTATAGAGGGAAGCCTGGTCAATTTTTAAGAAGAGAAGAGTTTTGAAATGAATTAGGGCGGTGGCAGCGTAAATAGTTTAATGAAATCAGAATAAAACTGTCTGCTTAGAGCAACTTGTCAAAAGGCACAAATATAGGAGTGCAGAAAGCCAGTCCTGCCAGGTAGCTTGCTACAGATGACATCACAAGAAGGAAGGGAATAGGTGAAGGCAGAGGCTGGCGTCTGAATGGTATGAGGGCTCATTGCTGGGTTCTGTGTTGTGTATCAAAGGACCTTGGAGAAGCACTATGTTGAGCAACGTGGGCAAATAAGAGGAGATGTGGAGATCATTCAAGGTGGAGAGTTATCAGTGTAAGATATCTTTTATTGAGCCACATTATCAAAGCACTCAACATGCTGGACATCAGAACTCATTGGACGGCAGCTAAATCAAACATTTGCACGATAAAACAAACTGGGACGTTATTGATAAACAGATGCCAACTCAGTCCAAAGAGGTGTGCTCTGGTGGATGATCACTCCTCAAGATGGGAGTCTCCCTAAGCTCACCCAGTGTCCAGCAAGATAAATTCAAACAAGAATTTCCCCGATAAATAAGAACTGACTATGACTAAAAGCATTCTTCCACATTTGTCCTTAATGATGACATAGATTCAGTAGTCTATTTAGAACAATGTCGTATATTTTCCACCTTCAAAGGAAGCTCTATTATTAATTGAAGAACTTAGGGTAATAAAAGCACAGAGATACAAAACATAGCTGGATATAATTCATGTGGAAAAAAAGAGATGCAGAGACAAATTCCCCAAGAGTTAAAACACTTTCTGTTGTAGGGGTCATTGTACATACCGGTATTATGCTTTAGTTGCTTTACATTGCCTGTTTTAGACAAAAAAAAGATGGGATGCAAAATTATACAAAACAAAATACTCAGGAGCACAAACAAACTTACACTGAGGACCTGTCACAACCGTTGCACTTGGAACAAAGGGAGCAAACCCAATGGAATTAATTGTCCTAAATTAGTCTTGCGCATTACTTTTAATGGGTCTGCTCTGAGTAGGACTAATGTTGCATACAATCCACAGGAAGCTATCTTCCGCCAAATCAATCTGGTATAAGTTTAGTACTGTCTACTCTAGCTTAGAGTGGCTCTCCTGGGTCAGACATCAGATACACACCATAAATTTAAAGTACACCCAAAGCACATTTAAAGGAGATTATTTGCCCCAAAGAATCCTAGAAACTGTAGTCTACCCCACACAGAGCTACAATTCCCCTGCATTCTTAACGAACTACAGTTCCCAATATTATTTAAGGGGAAGCCATGTACTTTAAATGTATGTTGGATGTGCTTTAAAAGCATGGTGTGGATCTCCCCTCCGGCTAAGGTCTTCCTCATCACTTTCTTCTTTTTTTTTTAATGATATTTATTGGGGAAATTTTTTTTTTTTAATTACACCAAAAAAAGACAAGACAGAAAAATAAAAATAAAAAATAAAACCATCATTCTCAAGTTCTCCACTTTCAATACCTTCTTTCTTTGACCTCCTCCTCCTCCCTTTTCTTGTATCCTGATTAATAATAATCGCAGCAAATCCTTTCCATATTTCATAGTATTCTGTCATTACATTACCTTAATCTATTTTCATCTTATCTTATAGAAAACCTTAAAGTTTAAAACTTAAATCTTATTTTTACCAACTTCTCCTAGCCATAACATTCTTACCAAATTCTTTAAACATTTTTACAAGAGCCAAGTAATTTCATTTCAACATTTTGCTAGCATTCATCAATTTTATAGAACAATCCTAATGATAAAAAAAAAGAAATAAACAATCCAATCTTCATCCAGCGTCCATTCCTCCTGGTCCCGGGTTTTGTCAGTCCTTTTTATCTTATTAATCTAGCACATTAACCTGGTAATCTTATATCCGAAGCCCTCAAGTCTCTTCCATGTCCCTTCCGCAGCTCTTCTTCATATTTTCCTTTCATTCATGGGAACTCCAGCTTGGTAATGTTTTTGACCCTTTTCAACAAATCAGCCCCTTTTCCATAGTCCAGACTAGACTCCATGTGGTATTTAAAAACATGTTTCAGATTCCCTCCAAAATTAAGAGCCCCCACAGCTCCAAACATCTGGCGGCCCATTGCCAGACTCGAAAAGTCCAAATCTCCCTGTATAGGGGGGTCTGTCCAACCCCCCATTTCCAAACCAAACCAAACTTTGTCTTTCCAAGTCTGGTTTTTTCCAAGTTCATTTATCAAATCCAAAAATTTATGTTCCTGCTAGGCCGCAGCTCCCTCCGTCTCTGGCGCCCAAGATTCAGCAGCATCCTCTTCTCTCAACTGTTCTGTCATGGCACACCTGTTTTAGCTCCTGGGTGGGCTCCATATAATTTCCCACTACCTGTTCAAAGGTTCTGGCCGCATTAGTCATCAAATCCGTCTTCTGGCTTAACTGATCCAATAGGGCATTTATTTTGCAGAGAGCACCCAACAGTGCTTCTGAAGACATTGTCCTGCAAGGTCACAAATCCTTTCCCACGGTTGTAATCTGTGGCAGCTGCAAGCTCCCAGGAATTAGTTACAATTTCACAGTCCCCTCTAGGGGAAATCTTCTGGTTGTTCTTTCTTTTAAAAACAATAGCAACAAAGTTTCTTATTAAGGTATTTTGTCCATATTTGTTCTTTTTAAAATGCGAAAGGAAACAATGGAATCACTATGTTTCTCTTCTTTTAACTATCTGTCAAAGACATTTGTTTCTGGTCAATGAGCTTCAAACGTCAATTCTGACACCCCGCTCCAGGATCAGGACGGTGGAAAATTACTTTGCTTTAAACTCACTTCTGCAGGTTTAAACAGCCCAAAAAAGATCCCCCTTCTTCTCCTGCTGCCGAAGGGGGGTTCAGCGATTTTAAATGATGAAAGCCAATCCTTTGAAAGTGATTTTTAAAGCTCTAGTTTACGTTGTCTTTGCTTTATTCTGGCTACAAGGAAACGGAAGGCTGACTTCCTGTTTAGACCTTCCCGTTTCAGTACCAAATTAAGGTAAATTTTTAAGTCTAAATTCCTTTCTATTTCGCCAGTTCTTATTTAAAGTCCAAATGTTCAATGTTCCAGTACTCACGGGTGGTTATTTTAGATGCCAAATTGTCCCAGGAAAAAGGCAGCACTCTCCAGCAACGGCTATGCGGCTTCGCTCCGCAGAAAAAGCAATTGACTCACAGCACCGCGCCACTTCCCCCTCTTCGCTTCGGAGCCCGTTAGTGGGTTCCTTTGCGGGTTGGGGGGGCGCTAAGGGTGCCCGCCGAGTCCCACGGTCACAGGCTTCATCCGCCTGTGATTTCCAGAAGGGTCCCCGCTTCGCCGTAGCGGAAAAGACCCGTTTCATGCGGAGCTGGTCCCTCCAGTTCAGAGGGAGTCCGCCATTGCCGATGGCGCCACCCCGGAAGTCCTCCTTCCTCATCACTTTCCACCCAATCCTTCTAATGGAGATACCAGGGAATGAACCTGGGATTTTCTGCAGGCAAGGCATCTTCTCTACCTCCCATATACCTGTAAAAGTCTCTGCATTTACATATTAAGCACAGGGATAAACTACTCTCTGTTTTATACTAGTTTTAACTGCCAATAATAATAATAATAATAATAATAATTTATTATTTATACCCCGCCCATCTGACTGGGTTTCCCCAGCCACTCTGGGCGGCTTCCAACCGAATATTAAAAACAATACAGCATCAGACATTAAAAACTTCCCTAAACAGGGCAGCCTTCAGTTGTCTTTTAAAAGTAAAATAGTTGTTTATTGCCTTGACATCTGCTGGGAGGGCATTCCACAGGGCAGGCGCCACTACTGAGAAGTCTCTCTGCCTGGTTCCCTGTAACCTCACTTCTCACCATGAGGGAACCACCAGAAGGCCCTCGGAACTGGACCTCAGTGTCCTGGCTGAACGATGGGGGTGGAGGCGCTCCTTCAGGTATACTGGACCGAGGGCGTTTAGGGCTTTAAAGGTCAGCACCAACACTTTGAATTGTGCTCAGAAATGTACTGGGAGCCAATGGTTTTCTTAAAAGGATCCCAAGGACTGTAGTTTGTTTTGCCAAGAATGGCGTGTTAGAGATCCCTAACAACATCCCACCACTTCTAAACTTCAGTTCACAGGATTTCCAAAGAAGAAGAAAATGACCAGATTAAGTGTTTAGTGTAGATTTGTCTCTTGTATTTTTCACACGTTGTTCTTTAAAGAAGAAATACATTAAGCCACTTTGAACATTCCAGCTTTAGTGGAGACACCATGCAGCTCCTGTAGCTCTACGGTGTGCATGCCCTAAAACTGTACAGTGGGAATCAGCACTGTGTCTGCCTTCACCCCTACTGCTTACTGCTCTGCTTGCTATATGGTAAATGGAAGCAAATAATGCAGATATTGACCAATTAATCCTTGCAAATCACTTTCCAAAGATAAAAGTATCACATAAATGCTAAGCATTATGAACTAAGACAGGGCTAATGCTGGGATTGAAAATGTCGATTTTCATCATCTGTATCCTAGGTAATCCTGGGATTTATAACACAGATGTGTGAGGTCTGGTTGTTGTTGTTTTTTAAAAAAGAGGAACATAATTGAGGGGAAATAGAGATGGAATAAAGTAAGTTCCTTTCCACTGGTTCACAAGAAAATGAGAGAGAGAGAGACTGAGCACACAAAGCCATTGCAATTTGTCTCACTTCCTAAAACCACTAGTTTTATTAGTAGCTATGGGATGTCCTCTAGATGTAAGGAAGAGCCTGAGTTATGAATGATCTCTTGCTCTTAGCTCCAGTGAAGGGAGAAATCAGCAGTATCAGAGAAAGTAAGATAACCAAATAGAGGAAAGTTAGGATGAAATTGGACAACATTTAAATGCATGTAACAGACCAAAGAACTTTTTAAAAAAAATAAAAAAGAGAGAGAAACTGAGGTAGCAGGGCAGGAATGGGGAAGTGATGAGTGTTTGGCCCATTTTCCACCCACTGCTCCTCTGCTCCAGATCCGTTGTCGGGTTCCAAACACATCTTGGCAAGCACACATTTAGGAGAATAATAGGAAGAGAGAGGAGCAGGAAGAGGAGGAGGAGGAAGTGTGGCGATTCCACCGCAAAAGCAGGCAGTTAGCCCAGGAGGCTGGAGAAAATGCTAGTTCGAAAGGCGTTTATACACATCTTGCTGTTAATCGTTCATTTGGCCCACACGTTTTGTCCAACACTTTTCAATGTGTTTCCCTGTCACTTTCCTAACTGCAAAACGTCCAGTGGGGTCTTTGTTGTTGTTGTTTCAAGTGGTTTGGTGGTGCTGGGGTGACAGCTTGCTTTAAATCACTTTAATTTCACAAAACTAGAATTACAGTACACGCCTGAATCCCCCTGCAAATTAGTAACACTCTGGAGGCACTCTGTCTTTTTGGGTAACAGGGGTCACAAACATACTTGACCTATACATACTGAGCTATACCATTCAGATTGCAGGCAGGAGGAGCTCACCAGGTTGAATGTTCCTCCATACTAAGACCATAAATAAAGTTTATGTAAGCTTCTCTGGACATATTTATACTGAAGGACAATGTACATCTGCATAAAATATATGTATGTCGGGGTGAAGCCAGGTAAAAACACAATCTAAAAAGCTAAAAGATTCACACAGATAAAAAAGAACTTCACCTGGCACTGGGTGGTGGGGGAGAGAAAGAATCCATGCCAGATGATCACCCCTGAAGAAAGTATTCCAAAGTTGGGGAGCCATAACTGAGAAAGCACAAAACCATGAAAAAGAGGAGAAGGTTGGAATAAATAAAAAGAGAAAAAAATTCTTAAATGTTTCATTTGGCAAAGGAGGAAGCCAATAAGGAGAATTGCCTCATGAGTTCCCAGAGCCCTGGGTCTGAGGTTTTTCATCACTGGTGTATAGGACTGCAGCTTTAGTTATTTCAGTGCTTTTTGTATAATAAATACAGTTATTATTAAATCTATGCTTTCAGACATTAATCTGCATCAAAATTTGCATTTGAAGAGTGTTTTCTGGAGGCATATCTCGAATTAATCCCCATTGTCCTACAGGACTCAAATTATGCCAAAGCTATGCTCAATAAATACATAAATACATTCTGGCATCCATGACTTACCTGGTGAGATTCTGAAGGAGCTGCTGTTGGAACTGTTAATGGATGGAAATTCAGATATAGGAACTTATTTCAGAATAAAAGTGGTTTTAGATACAAACTGAGGCTGATTTACATGAGATTATTCAGCATTGTTGAAAGAATGCTAACAAATTTACCCCCACACAGCAATTCAAATGCATGCAGTGCTTTCCATAACTCAAAAAACTGTCTCGGGTACAAAGATAGAGGTAAAAACAGACATGATATACGGTATAAAGTGATCGCAACAGTAAGGCTCTGTACAAAACAAACATTTAAAGCACATTCCACCTCCACCCTCCAAATAATCCTGGGAATTATAGTTCACTCCTATCAGATCTACAATTCCCAGCACCCTTAACAAACTACATTTCCCAGGACACTTTGTGGGAGAATGTGCTTTAAATATGTGTTGTATGTGCAGTTTAAGAGCCTTGCATTGCAACTTGCATTACAAATGTAATATGGATCTGTTCCTAGTCTTACATCTTCCCTTGTTGGTTATATGGGATGTCTCTCTCTCTCTCTCTCTTTTTTTAACAATGCAGCATATGTGGGTTTATATGTTCATTCTTCACCTTACCTCTTCCCCCCCCAAAAAAAAACCTATAATGCAAATCAGATTATATGAGAAGTGGGTTGGAGATGTGGCAGACAGTAGCCAGTAGGAACTACACAGCTGCACCACGCTGAAACCCTGCAGAACCATTTTTGTTTGTTTACAAGAGCTTGTCCCAAAGCAAGGGGGAATGTACATTTTCTTAGGAAACACCATCATTGTGTCTGTGTTCCCTCAGAAGTTTATTTGTCATGCCAAACCAGCTAGAACTAGATCTGAGTGCTGATGAAGTCAGTCCATTACATTTCCTGTTCCCCATCCCACTTATAGCCCAGCTTCGTAACATCATTATGGATTTATTTTTCAGACAGCCTGAATACAATCTCCTGTTTGCAAGGAGAATGACAAAGGCTACAGATCTCCCCCAAGGCTAAGATCCACATTTTTCAGTGACTCCTTGACAACAGAAATAATTGCTTTTCATTTTAGTAGCATATGGTGGGATGGAGGCACAGCTGGTTCACTTGCCATTTCCAAGTTTTGGGGAAAGGAGGAGGTGGAGAAGTAATATTCCATTCCTATTATTTGTCATGATCCCAGCCTCCAGCAGGGATCTGAACCCAGACTCTAAGCTTGAGAGACTGTGCATGACTATGGTCTTGTAAGTTCACCTGCAGGGAGGCCTTGCACTACTAACAATAGTACCCAGTGCTTTTTTGGTGAGGGAGTTTAAAAAATGAGGTTCCATTACCCAAATACTGATAAAAGTCCTGTGGGTGCCAGCACAAAATGGCTGCCAAAGGCAGCAAAAAGAAGTGCCGGTACCAGTGAATACTGTCACAAAATAAGCAATGCGAGTATTCAGAAAATACCAGTCAGTACTGATTAAAGACCTAGTAACAGAGACCTTCTTTGTAGTTGCCTGAATCCCTTGAGGAACAGTACACCATATATCCAAAGCTTCATTATCTCCCTGCTTTCTTACCACAAATGCCAATGGATCTATCAAGATTCTACAGGACAGTAACAAGTGGGGGCCCCTCAGACTGCCACTGCTTTCAGGTGGGATTCAATCACACCCTACCAAAGTCAGTTAAAGCTGGTATGGAGCTCTTGGAAGGGGCAGTGTGTCTCATGTAGCCACCAATCAGCTGTGCAGCAGATGCATGAATAAGGAAAGCCAAGCATGAATGACCGCCTCTCATCATCTGTGTGATGAGCTATTTGCTTAAAACAACAATAACATTCATCAATTTTGGGAGCAGCTAGAAAGCGAAGTTCTTGCCACGCTTTCTGAAAAGTTTTGACCACCTTGGACCACCTTGTATTTTGTTTTTGAATTACATTTTTAAAGGGTGCAGAATTTTGCCTTAAAAATCTGCACTGTTATTCAAAGTAATGGAGTTACCAGTTTACTTGTATGGAAAGGAAACAAACTGGACTAAGACAATTCCATTAATCTTCTAAAGAGGGAGCATATTAAAAGAGATTGGAAAATTCTAGTTCTGGAGACCTTGACAACACCATCCTAAAACCATCCAAGAGCCTTGCAAGGGATGCTTGCCTATTCACCCTTCCTTGCAAAGTGAGACAAGAGAGTTTTTAAAAAAGAAAAAGTCAAGGGAGTCGTTATTCCTCATCCACCTTCCCTTCTGGTCTTGCTTTTAATAGTAGCCTGACACAAATAAATTAAGCATGTTAAGGTTTTCCTGACATGGGGATAAAGGGATGAGAAAAATTTCACCTGCTGAGTTTTTCAGACCAGGCAGGAAGAGGATTAAAAACAAAAATAGCCACACACTTGATGTCACTGGGATCAGTTGTGACCGAGAGGCAGAGGGGATAAATGGGCTGAAATGTGATCCTGCCTGGTCCCTAGAAGTATTGGACATGTCTTTTATGGCCTCTTTTCTCATCGGCTACTGGATTCTTCTACTGAAGTTACCAGCATACATTCATGTATGGCTTATTTCACTGAAGGCAATGCTATGCTTGACTTTAAAAAAAAAAAGTTGGAGAGTTCATTTTAAAGTTTCTACTAACCATTTTTGTAAAGGATTCCTTTTCTATACTTCTACAGATTTTTTTGTTTGTGTGTGTGTGTGTGAGAGAGAGAGAGAGAGAGAGAGAGAGAAACATACCCTATGTTTTGACAATAAATGTGAGTCTGTTTGTGCACAGGATTCATGTGTGTTCAAACATACATTTATATACAAGGGACATCAGAATGTACATGCATTTGATTTATTTCATAAAACTTATATAGCACTTGGTTGTGGGGGGGAACCCTCAAAGTAGTTTAGGTATGCAAGTATGCATGTATATGTGTATATGGTCAGTAGGAAAGTAAAAGAATTATCATCTCCCTTCTTCCAAAGGGCTGCCTCCAAAATCTTCCTGAATCCAAGACCCAGTCAGATTCTCACTGACCTCACCATGATTCCTGCTCAGCAGAGGACATTTCCTTACCCGGATTTTCTGAAGAAGTTGTGTTCATCAGGCCTCTGAATATTGCCTTGATTTCTAGTTCCTTTCTTGGAGACCAGGGGGTGGACTTTGCACTGTCTGCAGCACATCTTGAAGAGGTTGCAAAGCCTTTTCAACCTAGGACAGAATGGAAAGAAAGTGAGAAACTGGCTTGTAGTGTCTGCACTGAACTTTGGGGGCCTTGACACCTCCAGGATATGCTGTCATGAGTATCTTGTGGACAGAAATAGGACCCAACAGGAAGATTTTGCAAAAGAGCCTCCAAAACACTGAGGATCACCTTTCTGAAATTACACCCACAAAGGAAACAGGCAATCCACTTTATCTGAAACGTTTAAAATGGTCCTAACTAATGGTATTAATACTCTAGTATTCACTTTTATAGCTTCTGGTGGATTGTGCTGCTTTATTTTTTGTTTCTGAAAAAATTCTAGACCGCCCTTCATTCAGTGGATTCTAGTACAGTTTCCAAGTATAACAATACAATATATAACATCTTCTTCTCCAGCTGTTCACTGTATATGCTCCAAAAACCTTGCACCTAACTGACTGCGTACTCCTCCCTCTACCAAGACATACAGAGTAGTTTCTGCTGACCCAATGAAGAAGCAAGAATCTCAAAAGCAAAGGACTAGACCAGGGGTGGGCAACCTAAGGCCCATGGGCCACAAGCGGCCCACGGGGGTCATTTAACTGGCCCCCGAGCTACCCCCGAACCGAGCCACCCTCTTGGTGAGTCCCTGTGTGCTGCGCTAAACCGGCACAGCGCGGCACAGGGACTTGCTTCTGCTGTGCCAGACGCTGGAAATTGCGGGCATGCGCGCTCAGGCGCGCATGCAATCTGGCGCACGGAGGGATCTCCGCTGGAGTGAACCGGCCCAGGCGAAGTAAACCTTGCCGACCCCTGGACTAGATGCTTCACTCACCCATTTAGATACAATTTAGAATACATCACCTATGGCAGACCAGCCAGCCAGGCACTCTGTTTAAACTGGGCCTGTTTCTCATAACATACATAATCATGATGTTATGGGTTTGTGGGGGGCCAGATTCCCCTAAATTCCTGGGTGCCAAATCCTCCCCATAATTCCTGGATTTAGTAACAGTTAGACTTAATCAAGCTTTGGTTAAACTTTGCCCAACACAGAACTCCCTAGATTTGATTATCCTAATGAGCCAAGCCAGCTCAGCAGAATTGGCTGGATGGGCCATTAGCAGGGGACAAAGACCAGTGATGGCCCATCAAGGAAGGCATCAGAGGGCAAGACTGCTAGGCAAAGAAGAGTGTGGTCCCTTCTTTGTTGGGTGCTAGTGAACAAAGGCAGGCCAGCTTTAGAGTTTCAACTTTGAATGATGTGGGCTGGCGGGGGGGGGGGGGTCTTGAAGTTGGAGAGCTCCATGTGAGCTGGAAATGACAAGACTGGAAATAAGAGACACAAAGGATGGCTTCTTGTTGTCTTTTGAACCCAATGCTGCCCTTAAGGGGGAAGCCAGACCCTCATAGGATGTGAATGCTCTGCAATCACTCCACCTAGCTGCAGGTTGTATATATGTGTAAATAAAACCATATACAGTGGTACCTCGGGTTAAGTACTTAATTCGTTCTGGAGGTCCGTTCTTAACCTGAAACTGTTCTTAACCTGAAGCACCACTTTAACTAATGGGGCCTCCTGCTGCCGCTGCGCCGCCGGAGCCCGATTTCTGTTTTTATCCTGAAGCAAAGTTCTTAACCTGAAGCACTATTTCTGAGTAAGCGGAGTGTGTAACCTGAAGCGTATGTAACCTGAAGCATATGTAACCCGAGGTACCACTGTATCATTAAAACAACCTCTGCTGTACCTCATTGTCCCAAAAGCAAACATGGACCCTGGAAATCACACCTGCAACCCCTGGAATCTCACAACACTTCTGGAAATTGGGGTGGCATGTAACAATATGAATACTAGAACACGGACCTGACCTCCATTGCCTTTTGGCTCATAAATGTATGTGATATTGTGGCTCCTGGTTAAAAAATAAATAAAAGCCTTGAGGATTAAGGAATGTAGGAGATTTTCAGCCAGGACATCTCCAGATATTAGGAGGCTATTGGGCAAGATGCCTCCTCCTGTCACCACCCACTCTGGGCCCAGTTCTCAGTTCTGCCTGGGGGTGTGGAAGGGAAGTGATTAAGCAGCTGCTGTTGCTCCCTCTAGACCAGAGGAAGAGAGAGCAGGCAAGCAGACAGCAGTGGGGACAGGAGAAGCATCTGGATTAGGGTGCTCTAATGGTTAACCATGGTCCCAAGAATCCCAGCCTCTGGTTCAGGGTAGCAAGCCAAAGTTGCCATCGTTTGCACACCAACCTGGGAGTAAGTGTCAATGAAATCAGCGGGACTTAACTTCTCTGTAGATGTGCATGGGATCTCGCTTCTAAATGTCCTCTTTAACAAGACAAGCAGCACAGAAAGAGGCATGTGTGTGCCTGTGTTAAATATAAAATATTTTGTTGAGCTGAAATGATACGGCATAAAACCGTTCCAAGCTCCATGTGTAGGAGGGTTACTGGAATCCAAAAACTAGCAGATGCCTCGGGCTTTGAGTGAAGGCAGACGTCTCGTCCGGAACTCAGCCCAGGTTTGTGGCTTTATTCCAAAGCCAGGCCCTCATGCAGCCAAGTCTCAAAGGAAGAGACGGGGTCTATAGCATGGAAAATCTAAGTTAAAAGGTAATAAGATGTGGATTATGAGTCGAGGAGTACAAAAGGTGCAAAGTGTGTGTGTGTGTGTGTGTGTGTGTGTGTGTGTGTGTTTGTTAGGGGTCATGTAAGTTGACTGGTTGACAACACACATCCCAACCAATATACATAATTTCCAGGTTGTTCACAAGTGCACTGTGTGATGGTTTAAATAGTAAAGTCTGAACATAGACGATTTGCAGATTCTGATTGACAGTGGCTCTCCAGGGTCTCAGGCAGGATCTTTCTCATCACCTCCTACTTGATCCTTAAAAAGAAGAAGAAGCAGTACCTGTGTGGTCCTTATTTAACTGGAGATGCCTGCTGAACATGGGTTCTTATGCAGGCAAAGCATGGGTTCTGCCATTGAACATAAGTCTCCTCCTCAACCTGTTATGCTAATCATTACAGATGGATGGATGTAGAAAGCTTGCTGATCTTGATAGTACGGTATGTGGAAAACAAAGCAATGAGCTCTTTATGGCAACTAGATCCATGTTTTCACTAAGTGCATTAGTAGTAATAAGGGTCAGACTTGCTACAGAGGCACTAACAGTGGCTGGGAGCTGAGGTCCACCAGTATGCGTCCCTTCATTTTAAAAGGTCATTTTAAAAATGCATTTCTCCTTGGGAAAACACAAAAGATGGGTAATATGCCAGCCCTCAACATACCCACAAGATTGAGGGCAAGAGTTAGCTTCTTAGAATGTGCCTTCAGGTGATTTCAGTGCCTGTGAGTGAATACCTAATGAACCTGTAAAAATAATAGCTTGTCGTCTGCACCAAAGCACTGGCTCCAGTCCACTGCATTTCATTTCCATGGATTAACTAAGCAGGTCCTTTGAAAGAGAAATATATTGTTTTATTATTGCTTTGTATCATTGCTAAGCAAGTTCTCCTTGTACCTTCCTCTGAATCATTTCGCAATAAGAACCACTGAAGTCACTGCACTGGAATAATAAATCTCATATTTAATTGCTCCTAGTTCAGGAACAGACTAAAAGGTGATCAATGAAAACTGGCACCCAGGAAAACTAGCACCCCTTTAAATCAGGGGTGGGGAACAATCGGGCCAGCAGGCTAATCCTAGCCTGCCCACCTGCCAAATTTGGCCTGCAGTGCTAATCCTGATAAGGATCTGTCCTGTGGCACCAAAAAGGCTCTCCACTCCTTGCTTTAAAGCTACATCTGATCTAGTTTACCACTCCTGCTTTCAACTGTTCTTTTGTTAAAGAAATCCTAGGAAAACATATTTGTCTAACAATATATAACACCTGGATCTAATTCCCCATCTTTGTCTATCTGGGCAAATCCAGCTGAAGTGAGACAACATCTTCTTATCAATTAAGTGAGACAACAACTGAGTTCACCCTAAACTGCACCTTGCAAATTTGCCTCCTCTGCAAAATGTTTAGTAGCTCTTTGCTGCATAGTTCAGTGCCTGTGCTTCCAGCTCTGTTGGATACATTAGGCTGAATGAGGCACTGCCTCATCAACCTCAAGTCTACCCTCAGCCAGCCCCCACATGCACCCACAACTGTCTGTCAACTGCCTCTTTCTTAGACTCAGGTGGAATCTAGACACATTTTAAAAAAAGGTGTGAAAATGCTTAAAATTTTTTTTCCCCCGAAAAATATGTTGAATTTGCTCGCCATCGCCATCTGGTGTCACATTTGTATAATGCACTTTACAACACACTTAAAACGTTATATTTGCTGCTGTATAGCTGAGTCCTCAGTATCCCCCTAGTAGATCTCAGCATTGCAGGGAGGAGGATGGGGTGGTGTGTAACAATATGTTTACACTGGGATGTCTCTTCTCCCCAGAAAAGCAGAAGGAAAACAAGACATGAAGTTACCATCATGAAGGTTCAATACCAATTATTGTTTGTCTGACAGGAACAGCTCAGATTAGCTACTGAATAGGGACTCTTCCCTCCCCATCACAGTCAGTGCTATTAGATATGCCAATGACTTTGCATCAGCTACCCACAGAACAGTTTTGCTCTAGTTCAGCTGTATTCCATTCATTTCCTGAAATGTAGTCACCCTATGTTGGGTGGAGATTGGATTGTATGGGAAATGTCACGCATTCTCATGCTGAAGCAGCAAAAACTCTTGCCTGACTTCCTCCTTTTGCTAACAGTCAGAAGCTCACATGACCAAGCTGGGGGCTTTCGTGGCAGGATAGTGGAACTCTGTTCTGGATACTTCCCCATACATCTTTGTCTGTGGCTGGAATGACTAGTAAGAAAGTTTCATACAACTTTAGATGTCAGGCGAAAACATTCCTCTTTAACCAGGCCTTTGGCTGAGTGACTTCCAATGCCCTTTGAAAATGTATTTGGGAGGGGGCATTATTGGGTTGTTTTTGTTTTTATTATGTATTTTGTGTGTTTATACTGTGATTTTATGTTGTAACTGCCCTGAGACCTGTAGGTATAGGGCGGTATACAAATTTAATTAACAACAACAACAGCTATCATTATTATTATTACGTCACTATGCCTTATTTGCACTGTCAAATGTTCTGACACTAGCCAAAGTTATGGCTTGGGGGGGGGGCAGCTCAGGGTCACTCATCCCCAGAACATGATCCAGCTTTCACACACACACCAACCACACGTTTAACACATGTGAGAAGGAAGTCTACTAACAAACCTACATAGAACTCCTCTACATAAGAGGAGAGACAATCATGATTTCTCCCTCTGTGGGAGGA